TCCTCAAGGCAAATTCCTTTGTCATACCCCACATCTGTTTTTGTTTTTGTTTTACACCTCCTTAAGCAAATCCCTTTCTCATGCTTTAGTTATAGCAATGTTATAGAACTGATCTCCCTGCCTCCATTATTCCCCAAAGAAAAACAATTTTTCTTCTTTAAATCTCAAAGTATACTTGTATAACTTGGGGATTGACCTCAGGCAGGGAGAAATAAGCTGCCTGAATTCCAAAGAAAATGTGGGTCTTAGATGTTTTTAAGCATGTGAAGGAAGGCTGATGATGGTATCATTTTAAAAATGTGGACATACAGGTCAAAAAGAGGATCTGGAGGCATAGAATTACAAAATCAAAGAATTTTAAAGCAAGTTGAATAGATTATGTTATCAAAATCATTCATCTTACAGGTGAGAATATAGGAACACAGAGAGACTGAGTAATTTGTTCAAAGATACAACTAATTATTTTATATTTATATACTTACAAATTATGTATATTATAAAATACACACAAGCATTTATGGTGTAATGTAAATAGAAAGTAAATACTTTAAAAACAGTTTTATTTTGTCTTGATGGTACAAAAATTCTTTTTTTTTTTTTAAAGATTTTATTTATTTAGTTGACAGAGAGAGATCACAAGCAGGCAGAGAGAGAGGAGGAAGCAGGCTCCCTGCTAAGCAGGGAGCCCAATGCGGGGCTCGATCCCAGGACCCTGAGATCATGACCTGAGCTGAAGGCAGAGGCTTAACCCACTGAGCCACCCAGGCGCCCCATGGTACAAAAATTCTTTTTGCTATTACTATTAATAATGTTTTCAGTGAGTGGGTTACCACTTTTTTTAAAGATTTTATTTATTCATTTGAGAGAGAGAGGGAGCACAAGGAGGGGGAGGGGCAGAGGAAGGGGGAGAAGCAGACTCCACACTGAGCAGGGAGCGGATGCGGGGCTTGATCCCAGTACCCTGGGATCATGACCTGAGTGGAACAAAGGCAGACACTTAACCAATTGAGCCACCCAGATGCCCCTTGGATTATGGATTTTTTTATAGCAACCCAAAAGTCAAGTTGTAAGTTCAGCTTATTTTGATACTTGGTTATTTTAAAAAAGAATATATTACACAGATATATAGATCCAATACTCATTTTTCAATTTGATCCACTTATTCAGAAGTTTTTTATTGAAAATTATTAGTAAAAAAATCTACCTTTCTTAATGTCAATTAACTGTTCTTGACAAGTAATTGGAAAATGCTGTACTTTCAAATTTAAAAAAAAAGTGAATCCCATGGGTATGTCTCATTTTAAAGTGGGAGTATTGAAAGGAAGTTAGAAAAATTTGTTCTCAAGTTTTCTAAGTATGCAGAGGTAAGAGAATTTTTACAGATGATATATTAATATATATTTCAAAATAAAATAAAATAATTATTTCCAAACATTCATTTTCAAAATACTTTTGTTTCTTTTTTTGAAAAAAAAACAAAAAACAAAAAACACAAAAACTGCTTTTGTATTTATATTTAGAATGTTGTATGAGGGTGCCTGGCTGGCTCAGTCAGAAGAGCATGAGCTCTTGATTTCAAGGTCCTGAGTTCGACCTCCATGTTGGATGTCGAGATTACATAAATAAAAATAAAAAAAATAAACTTTAAAATGTCATATGAATAGACAGATTAAATGTGTGAGTGTTTTTAAGTAACCACTAGGTGGAGTAGTATTAAAAGTCACATCAAAATTGAGGTCTGCATAGTGGGAAAATTTTTTTTAACTTTTTATTGAAGATTAATATATATACACACCATGTACAAGTAATTAACTCCAAAAGGACAACAGACCCAGATATTAGAGCTAAAACTGTAAAAATTTTATAAGAAAAACATAGAATAGCTTTATAGTCTTGGTTTAGATTAAGATTTCTTAGGACAAAAGAAGCATGAATCATAAAAAACAAAATGATAAATTAGACTTAGTAAAAAAAAATTCTGGTCTCTGAAAGATACTACAGTGAATAGAAAAAGAAAAGTCACAGACTGGGAGAAAATGCTTCCCAAACATATGTCTTATTAAAGACTTACAACCCAAATATATAAAGAACCCTTACGAGTCAGTAATAAGGAAATGAACAATCTAATAAAAAGAGGCAAAAAGAGTTGGACATATCACTAAGGAAGAAATGTGGATGGCAAATAAGTACACAGAAAGATGCTCAACATGATTCATTGCTAAGGAAAAGCCAATTAAACCACAATAAGAGCACTCTCTCTCCACAGCTACGAGAATGTCTAAGATTAAATGGGCTGAGAGTGACAGGTGCTGACATGGAGCAAGTGAACTCTCATATGTTTTTGGTGCCCATGCTGAATGATACCGCCATTTTAGAAAAACTGCTCAATGGTTTCTTCTAACATATACTTACTGTACCACCCAGCAGTCCCATTCCTTCCTATTTATTCAAGAGAAATGAAAACACTGCAAAGTTTAGTGGGCAAATGTCTACTAAGGAGCAAAATTTGAAAAAAAAAAGTGCTCATTAATTGATAAATGGATAGAATATCTATATAATGAAATACAACTCAGCAAGGAATGAAATTCAACCTATGCAATCAAATGGATGAATCACATGATTCACATGATGCCACAATGAATAACTTATCCTATAAATGTCATTCTGCAAGTGTGTGATATTATCAGAAAATTATGGGAAGGGGGATTACTGGGTCAAAAGCCACATGCGTTTGAAATTTTGTCATTTGGATAGACGTTTCAAAATTGCCTTCCTTAGGGGCTGTACGAACTTGCATTCCCACCAGCAGTGGAAAACACTCCCATTTCCTCACAACCTCATCAAAAGAGTAAGTAGAATTTGGGGATAATGGCTAATCTCCCAGGGAAATGGTGTCTCAGCAGGGGTTTGGTTAATATTTCTCTTTACACAGAAGCTCCAGTATATTACCTGGTCGTCCCCCTGCTCCCCTTACACAGCCCCTGAGGCTCTCATACATTCCGTACCATGATGTTCTGAACCTGCCATACAACTTCATACCCCTGGGCAATTATACAGATGGTTCCCTGTGCCTGGAATGCTCTCACCTCCACCACCTGCCCAGTGAACTCCTGCTTATCCTCCAAAACTCGCACACATTTGTGAAGCTCTTCTTGATGTTGCTTCCCTCTGAGCTATGGTTGAACTTCATATGCACAATCCGACATGTCATGGTGAATCGTAATCCTTTTTCCAAGTCACTGCAAGCTTCTGAGCATATTAGAAAGTGTCTCTAAGTTCTATAAGACAAGGGCTTCAATTCATTCAACTCTTTACTCTCAGGCGCTGGTAGGGTGTCCAGCACAAAGGAAGACCATGGCAAATGTGGGCTGATCCGAAGGAAGGGTCTCTGCAGGAGCGAACATGTTTCTGTTAAGTACCTTGCATGAATAAAGGCACATCTAGGAAGGAAATTTTCTGATGAGTCAATCTAACACTATAATTCTGTGTTGAAGGGTGATTTGTCCCAACATCTCCTCCTTCACATTTTCTTTATTTTATTTTATTATTTTTTAAAAGATTTTATTTATATATTTGACAGACAGAGACACAGCGAGAGAGGGAACACAAGCAGGGGGAGTGAGAGAGGGAGAAGCAGGCTTCCCGCCAAGCGGAGAGCCCGATGCAGGGCTCAATCCCAGAACCCTGGGATCATGACCCGAGCCGAAGGCAGACGCTTAACGACTGAGCCACCCAGGCGCCCCTCCTTCACGTTTTCAAAATGAAGATTTATGTTGTTGGACTGGTAGCCCAATAGGGTCTAAAAACACACATTACGGTAGAAGGTAGAAGGAGAGAGCAAGCATTTTCATTTTATGTTGGACTCCCCCATCTATAAAGTTTACAGGGCACAAGATGATCTGAAATGCTGGCATAGAAGAAATTTCCTGCCTTCTGTGACAGCTTAGGGCAGGGGAAATGCTCCTGATGGCACTGCAAAACAAGGTATGGGAGAACATTTGGTAGATACTCTTGAAGCAAGCACGGGTATCTGGAATGTGCCTCTCACAGAACCACTGTCTGGGCCTCTAGTTTGGACAGCTGTGCCTATGCTCTCATAGAAGGCCTTAGATCATGAGTCCCTCATCCGTACCAAACACAAATCTGTACATTGGTTTAAGCCGAAAGACCCAGGAAGAATCCTCATTATCTTCCCAGCAAAAATATAATGCCTGGAAATAAACAATTTTATATATCTATACCTCACAAACTCAGCAGGGAAGATGCATTTCTCACCCTTCGTGATCAGCATAGAGGCTTTTGTGTAATTTATGGATAATGGGTTAATAAAGACAAGAAGCATTTCCTTATGACACAAGGCCACTTCTACAGAATGAGCACAAGGGAAAGACAAAAAAGAACTGTTCTATGCTACTTAACAAATATTTGTTAGATAACCATGTGCTAGGCATCATGGTAGGCAATGGGGAGAAAAAGTTGAATAAAATATAGTCCACCCCCTAAAGGAGCTTATAATGTAGTTCTAAGGATGAAACCAACTCTAACATCATACATTTGTACAATGCTTTTAAGTTTACAAAGTACTGTCATGTATTGCAAATTCACTGCTCTGTCCCCTTTCCACACCACCAGAACACGGAGGCAATCAACAAAAGGCAAAGTGCTATGGAGAGTCAAAGAGAAGAGATTCCTTGTAGGAGGGTGGTAAGGACTGGGTAAGAAGTGAAAATCTCATGAAGAAGAAAACATTCTAGATGAGCTTTGAAAGGTGAACATATTTCATCAGACAATGATTGGTGTCATTCCTTATAATAAATAACTTATGCATATGCGTAAAGTCAAGAGGATGCCAGAGACAAATTTTGAGGAAGCCCAAGGAATGTAATTTGACTGCAATGGAGTATCAGAAGAAAATAAAACTGGAAATAAAGCCTTGGGAATGCATGCTTAATTTTTTGAGATTTAGGGCTAGCAAATAAAATGAATGAATTAGCTTTCTGCCCATGGACGCCGCCGAGTAAGCATCGTTAAAGTCTCTCCTCCCACCGCCGTCATGTCTAAGTCAGAGTCTCCCAAAGAGCCTGAACAGCTGCGGAAGCTCTTCATCGGAGGTCTGAGCTTTGAAACAACCGATGAGAGTCTGAGGAGCCATTTTGAGCAATGGGGAACACTTACGGACTGTGTGGTAATGAGAGACCCAAACACCAAGCGCTCCAGAGGCTTTGGGTTTGTCACATATGCCACTGTGGAGGAGGTGGATGCAGCCATGAATGCAAGGCCACAAAAGGTGGATGGAAGAGTTGTGGAACCAAAGAGGGCTGTCTCAAGAGAAGATTCTCAAAGACCTGGTGCCCACTTAACTGTGAAAAAGATTTTTGTTGGTGGCATTAAAGAAGACACTGAAGAACATCATCTAAGAGATTATTTCGAACAGTATGGGAAAATTGAAGTGATTGAGATCATGACTGACCGAGGCAGTGGCAAAAAGAGGGGTTTTGCTTTTGTAACATTTGATGACCATGATTCTGTAGACAAGATTGTCATTCAAAAATACCATACTGTGAATGGCCACAACTGTGAAGTAAGGAAAGCGCTCTCTAAGCAAGAGATGGCTAGTGCTTCATCCAGCCAAAGAGGTCGAAGTGGTTCTGGAAACTTTGGTGGTGGTCGTGGAGGTGGTTTTGGTGGGAATGACAACTTTGGTCGCGGAGGAAACTTCAGTGGTCGAGGTGGCTTTGGTGGCAGTCGAGGTGGTGGTGGATATGGTGGCAGTGGGGATGGCTATAACGGATTTGGTAATGATGGTGGTTATGGAGGAGGCGGCCCTGGTTACTCTGGAGGAAGCAGAGGCTATGGAAGTGGTGGACAGGGTTATGGAAACCAGGGCAGTGGCTATGGCGGGAGTGGCAGCTATGACAGCTATAACAACGGAGGAGGCGGAGGCGGCTATGGCGGTGGTAGTGGAAGCAACTTTGGAGGTGGCGGAAGCTATAATGATTTTGGCAATTACAACAATCAATCCTCAAATTTTAGACCCATGAAAGGAGGCAATTTTGGAGGCAGAAGCTCTGGCCCTTATGGTGGTGGAGGCCAATACTTCGCCAAACCACGAAACCAAGGTGGCTATGGTGGTTCCAGCAGCAGCAGCAGCTACGGCAGTGGCAGAAGGTTTTAATTACTGCCAGGAAACAAAGCTTAGCAGGAGAGGAGAGCCAGAGAAGTGACAGGGAAGCTACAGGTTACAACAGATTTGTGAACTCAGCCAAGCACAGTGGTGGCAGGGCCTAGCTGCTACAAAGAAGACATGTTTTAGACAATACTCATGTGTATGGGCAAAAAAACTCGAGGACTGTATTTGTGACTAATTGTATAACAGGTTATTTTAGTTTCTGTTCTGTGGAAAGTGTAAAGCATTCCAACAAAGGGTTTTAATGTAGATTTTTTTTTTTTTGCACCCATGCTGTTGATTGCTAAATGTAATAGTCTGATCATGACGCTGAATAAATGTGTCTTTTTAAAAAAAAAAAAAAATGAATGAATTATGCTTTAATCTGAGGTAGGGAATCAGTTTAGCTACTTTGAAAAAATTCTTCATTTACTTCAAGCTATGCTTCCTAGATCCCCATCAAAGTCACTTGATCTTCTATGTCTCCCTCCCAAAATATTACCAAGGCTCGCCTTTTCCTCATCAGTCACTGATCAATTCATATACATTTCTCCTCTGCTCCCATTCTCTTCCACAAAGCAGTTGTTTCTAAGATGATGAAATTTTATTGTTCTTTTGTTTATTTCCTTGTTTGTGGTTTCTGATTTCCTGTAATGAGCAGAAGTGTTTTAATAATACAAGCCTATTGGGGCGTCTGGGTGGCTCAGTGGGTTAAAGCCTCTGCCTTCGGCTCAGGTCATGATCCCAGGATTCTGGGATCAAGCCCTGCATCGGGCTCTCTGCTCAGCAAGGAGCCTGCTTCCTCCTCTCTCTCTCTCTGCCTGCCTCTCTGCCTGCTTGTGATCTCTGTCTGTCAAATAAATAAATAAAATCTTTAAAAAATAATAATAATACAAGCCTATTTTTGAAATATAATGTTTATTAATACCTTAGATTATATCCTCCAAGTTTCTTCTATATAAAACATAAATGTTATCTTTCTGTAATCTAATGTCATGTGTATCTTTTGGCAATTTACCAATTATTGGATATCTAGGGGATATGAAATTTTTGAAATGATGAATAGTGCAGAGCAGTTAAAATTAGATGAAAAAAATTAGTATTAAACAGTACAGTCCCGAGGTTCCTGGGTGGCTCAGTTGGTTAAGCATCTGCCTTCGGCTCAGGTCATGATCACAGGATCTTAGGATGGAGCCCTAGGTCGGTCTTCCCTGCTCAGCAGGGAATCTGCTTTTCCCTATGCCCCTCTCCCTGCTCATGCTCTCTTTCTGGCTTGTTCTCTCTCAAATAAATAAAATCTTAAAAAAAAAAGAAAAAGTACAATCCCGCTCCTGGGGGTCAAAGAAGAAGCAAAATAGGCAACAATTCTTAAAGATGCAGAAAATGTTACAAGACCACCTCCATGACCAAAATGACACCTTGTCCAGCTTGCTTTCCGCCAAACCACCTTTGGCCAAATTATTTCCAGCTGAAGAGTAATGCTACACTATGTAATGAGCAGTGTGCTAGGCAATGATGACATCAAGATGAAATCCCTGATCCTTATACTCAAGGGGCTTAAAGAACCAGGAAGGAATATGGGCAGCACAAGGGATGCCCAGGTTACTAAGGTACACAGAGAAAGGTATCTGACTGCACCCGATAAGATCAAGGGATACCCGGCAGATGGTATCATAAGAGAGCCCTGAAGGATGGGTAGGCAGTTTCTCAAAGAAAGGGCTGGGGAGAAAGGAAGTGTATAAGAATTTCAGGGCAGAAGCAACAGCCTATGCAAAGATATAGTCAAGAGTAAATATGGCACGCTGAGAGAGTTCTACATGAATATTGAGGTTAGCAGGTAGGAAAATATGTGTGTATGAACTGATGGGAATTAGAGGGAAGATGGCAAGATAGAATTCTAGAAAATGACTGTGCTCAGTATAGTACTCTACAGTGTGGAGAACTTGCATTTTTATTTATGTGTAGTTTAGTTTATATCTTAAAAAAATTCTTCTTGTAATGTGACATATTAGACCTAATGATACTGCAATAATACAAATATACAAATGATTAAAAATAAATTTGGCTTGAGGGGGGCACCTGGTTGGCTCAGTAGGTAGAATATGGGACTCTTGATCTCAGGGTCATGAATTCAAGCCTCACATTGGGTGTAGAGCTTACAATGAATGAATGAATGAATGAATACATAATATATCAATAAATTTGGCTGTATTGGGGATAAATGCTCGAAATTGTTTTTCTGGGTTCAGTGAAGCTTGGAGACAACTGCTCTAGGTGAAGGGAAACCATGATGGGCTTGAAGGAGGGGGGATGGTAACAAGATGTGAAACTTCGGCAGCTGGGTGGAGAAGGGTGGATGGGAGAGAGCATTCGGGGAGTTCAGAGGCATTAGTCAAAGTGAGAAATGATGAGAGCCTGAACTAGGAAGAGGGGATTGGCGGGACTGACGAGATTCAGATGGAGCTTGGTAAACTGATGTTTTGTGCGATGCAGAGGGAAAAATGGATAGAAATTACAGAAACGGAAAGAAGAGGATGGATGCTGTGTGAAGCAATGACAACAGATAAGCCAAATCAGAAGTCAAACGCAGAAACCATTAATTCAGCAATATCACAGGATGTATATTCTGGTGTAATATTTGTTTGTAATATTCGCTATGCAAAAATGCATTTTAAGTCCTAAATGTCCAGCCCCACAGATATGATACAATAAACGTGTTGTTGGCGGCTGCTGACCCAGAAGTAAACACACATTATCATATTCTGATCAAAAGAAACGTGTGAGATGTAATGAATTCCAGTGGAAGTGGTTTAAAGTTCTGAATTTATTTATACATGTAGAAAACCATAAAATGTTGTGAAAGATAATGACATAATTACAGGAGCAGAGTCTCCAAAACCTTCAGAAAGCTCCCATCTAGACACAATATAAAGCTACAGATAATGTCTAGAAATAGGCACAGGGTGTAGGAGTGAAACATTTTTACTCATCAGTCATTGCAAGTTCACTTGGCACATTGTGATAGAATATTTTAAATAATGGGTAAACTTTCCCTCTTGCTTAGACCTAAATAGGCTCCATCACTTTATCTTCCAGCCAACTTACCTAGCAAAGAAATCACATAATAAAAACAAACAAAACTTCCTTCAAGCCCAAGGCTATTCTTCCCTATGCCCACTACTCTCTAGCTATGCTGGATTTCACTGCTGGGCAGGACTGGCACTCAATAAATATTAATTGAATGAAATTGAGCCATATAGACCAAACCTACAAATCAGGGATATTGGGCCAGAATCTTCATCTACAGAGTCTTATGTGTGAGAAATGAAACTTAATTATTCAACTTGATTTCTATTTCGTTTTTTAAAAAAGGATTATATATGTATTTTTTTTTTTTTTTTTTTTTGAGTAGGGGGATGCATATGAGTGGGAGGAAGGGCAGAGGGAGAAAGAGAAAGACTCTCTGCTGAGAAGGGAGCCTGACTCAGGGCTCGATCCCAGGACTCCAGGATTATGACCTGAGCTGAAGGTAGGCGCTTAACTGATTGAGCCAGCCAGGTGCTCCTTGATTTCTATTTCGAAGCATCGTTTCACCCGGCTGGCACAAAGTTTATCTTGGTCTATTTAGTATCTTTCCTTCTGTTTCTCTAGTATTTGCATAAAGTCAGGATACTGAGATGAAATAGCATTTATCTGCTGTATCATCTGTCCCCTCGGTCACTTGAGATATCAATTTGCATCTGGCCACTTTGAATTAGTCCAAAAGCTTTCTCTGGAGAATTCCCTTCCCTATTTTATGACTCTTTTGAGCAAGGGTTTTTTTCAAAAAAAGCAAGTGACACCTGTCACTGTCCTCGGGCTCTTGGGACTCATTCTGTTATCTCGGTACTGCAATGGGCACTTAAGGCTTTCTCTGGGCCCTGTTGCCTCCCTGGAGCTTGGCTCAGAGGTAAGCTCGGAGCTCCAGGGAGTGGGGACCTCTCACACCCACTGGCCTGGTTCTACACCTGTCACTCAGCAGGGACAGCACTTTTTTCCTAGGGCACCAGCAACATGTGTCATCTCCAACTCCTGAAATTCCTTTCAGCCCTGGGGATTCTCGTTTGTCAGTGTGTACAGAGAGACTGTGGAAGAGAGTGAGAGGAAGCTGTGTTCTTGCTGATGCTATCTTTCCACTCCTTTGTCTATTCATTAGGATCTTGTTATCTCTAGACCTCTGCTTTTATTTACTATTTTTTAAAAGATTTAATTATTTGGCAGAGAGGGGAGAAAGAGAGAGAGAACAAGTAGGCGGGGAAGCAGAGGGAGAGGGAGAAGCAGGCTTCCCGCTGAGCAGGGAGCCTGATGGGGGTCTCAGTCCCAGGACCCTGGGATCATGACCTGAGCTGAAGGCAGAGAGGCTTTAACCCACTAAGCCACCCAGGTGCCCCTCTGCTTTGATAACTCAAAGACCGGGAAGAGAATCCTTCCAACTCCCCACAGCCACATTCCTTCCCTGAGTACAAACAGAAAAGCCTAGCTTCTGCTTAAATATGGAGACAGGACCAAGGGGATACAAGGAAGTGTTGACAAAAGAGAGAGGGTTTGGGTGAACCCTGACAAATATTGCAAAATTAGTATTCTGCTTCAGATTCATAAGTAAAATCTTGACTCCTGAATGAAATATTTCTCATGGGTTACTAAAAAGGAATTTGGGATTATTTGCATTTCTTAATCTGAGAATGAGTTAAAATGCAATCATCATGGTGTTGTATAGGAAAATTGCCTGGTGTCTTCTTCGAAAGGATATTGGCTAAGCGCCTCCTTGACCCAGATGCTAGACAAATGCTTCTCAATAGCCCTGTGACATAGGCATGGTGATCCCATTTTTAGAATTAGGAAATTGAGCAAGTGTTAAAAACTTAAGTTCATGTAGCTTTTCAGTGGCTTGGCAATAATTTGAAACCAAATGCATATAACTGGAAAAATCCACGTGTTCTCTTTATTTTTGTCTCTCACAGAATTCAGGATTCATGAATCGCATTGGTCCAAGATAGTATTTTATTATTTTTTTCAGTTTTTTATTATTTTTTTAATTCCCCCCAATAATTCTGATTTTCTTTTTAAAT